GGTCAGGTATTGAAGAGCGCAGCGAATGCCAGCGAATAGACGAGAGTTCTTTCGCTGAGATTTCGCATCGATATGACAGCTAGGCAGCGTGTAAAGAATATGCGCGTTCCCTGCTCAGGAGTCTCACTGACACGATGTTCTCTTTCCCTCTCTCTTCGACGACGAATGGCTTCCTCTCAGACTGATGCGGAGCTACACACACATCAGGCAATTTTGGGATAAAAAAGAAGCGCGTAATCCTGGAGCATGCGCACTTACACGACGTACGCGGGTCCGAAAAATCGCGCCGTTTGGACCACTAGGTTAGCTCGCTCCCGCTCGCCAATAATAACTAGTGAAAATGTTGAACATTGTTGGCGAGCGGGAGCGACCCAACTTGGATTTGCCCGCGATGTTCGAGCTGCATAACGTGCCGTCAGCGCACAGCTTTCCTTTCGTGAAGCAAGACAGATCTACTTGTCGCCGTTACGTGCGTACTGTATATTGCCAGAACGGTGAGCAAGTGAGCAGAACGGTACTTACCTTATGCTTTCAGATCGTCAGTCGTGGTCCACCAGGCAGCTGGCATGCAGCAGTATCTGCCCGAGCAATCCTAGCTCATTTCCAAGTTGCACCTTCGAACCACGAAGATTGGGAAGCGGTACAGCCTCGGTCAGTCACCGAAGGTTGCAGCACACGCCGTCGAATGGAGAAGAGTTCTCTCGCTGGCTAGATCGATCGGCGCATATCGCGAGGCAGGCAGCGTGTGTGAAAATGCGTTGAAAGCGCGTAAGAAGTCGCGCATGCGCACTTACACGGCGTACGAACGATAAAAGAAAAATCCGCTCGATCCTCTGTCGTATACTGTATGTCCCACCCCGATATATGTATCGTGCATATTCACTGTAAGTCAGTCAGTCATCAATGATCATGATACTTGCCCTATGATATGTGATTACTGGATACTATACACTCCTACACTTACTGGATACTACACTCCAGTTTGTTTTTTAAAACACATTCTTAACATCATTGTATGTGTAATTGTACTGGGTCCTCTTTTCTTGAATCCAATTTTTGTACCATTCATTGTTGCATTTATTCAGACGATTCATGTTCTGATTACTCTTTTTATGTGGCAAGTGCACAACAAAAGCATCGGGAAAGACGATGAAATTGTATCCAGCCATGTGTAACTCTATGCTATGGCTGATTTTGTCACGAAATCGAGCGACGAATATGTGATCGAATGAGATGACAGATGTCTTGAGCAAATAGTATGGTTCATACTTTTCCTTCCACGTGACCAAGTAGGTATTCGTGGCACTAATCCACTTCTGGTAGTCAGTCGGATCATGTCCCTCTTTGAAGGCCTTGAGCCTAAACTGACGTACCCTGCCCCCTTTGTAAAGACCAATCATCTCTGATTTTCTGTGTGGGACAGTGAAGTTAGTGTTATCTGACTCAAATGCAGGGATGACAATTGCTTTTTTGTCCATATTCCCAAACACATTTGCTTCTAGTTTCTTTTTCAGGATATCGTACAAACACAAAGACGAGATGAAGTCGACATCGAGAATAAACATGAAGGGAGTAGACACAAACCTGTGAGCAAGTTCACGTCCATGGTTGGGAGGGTACGAAGGGCCAACTGTAAACAATAGATGGTAGGTCACATTCAACCTGTGTTGCAATGACTTTGAGTTGAGGAGGAAGCTGACCACCCCCTCCACCTGATAGTCACTCAGGTGAATGGCCACACTGGCAGGTCCGTTCCAGTCTCCAGGATCTGCTCCAGCAGACTCAGTCTGTTGTAGTCGCAGATGGGTGGTTAGTGTCACATCGTACTGCCCACTTGACTTGTAGCTGTGGCCCAGCAGGAAGGGCAGCTCTCGTCTGTGGGCCTTTCTCTCCCATTCAAACAGTTTGCATTCGTCCTTCTTTGACGGTGCTTTGCGGACCAAAGATTTCACACCCTTGAGACATTTTCCCATCTTTCTGTACCTAAAGAGCTCTCCGTCATATTCCAGGGCTGTGCTACATAAATTGTCCCATGTTGCTTCCTAAATTGAAAAATTTCATCATGACCTTGTCTGCAATATCTGCTACGCTCGGTTTACAATTATTATGTCTGGGTATGTTGTTCTCTTTCCTCATGTTTTGTAGGCAAACACCAATAGCACCCCACCCTGTAAGCTCAATATCACTTCCTTTGCTACAGTATACGGCGCACTTGCTCTGGCACACAGTGATAGATCCATTGAGACGTGACTTAGTCAGAGCCCACAGCTGAGCCAAGTCAAGTGTGACGACTGAGGCTGGCTCTATAACTATGACATGTTGGACGGTGTTGGGCAAGACCAAGTCAAGATTTAGGTGAATGGAAAGGGATCGAGAGCACTGGATATTAGAGCCTAATTTGATGTCGGTCAAGGCACGGGAAAGGTCGTAGTAGTCATGTGAAATTGCTGGAACAAGCCAAGTACTCATCATTGTGTGGAGAACAGTCTTAGCTCTGTCGTCAGTGATGAAGTGGAAATGAAGTAGAGTCGAACAGTGCATGAGGACCGATTTGATCGTCGTGTACAAGTGTCTGCTACCTATGTCTCCAGATGCTACCATTGCTACGTGGACAGTTGAGCAGTCGGTTGACACTGATGTTTGATACTTCACTGGCGAGAGAGACGGCTTTGGAGGTATCAACAGTGTTACGTACGTGTCACCACTGCTGGGAGTAGTGGGTAGGGATGTAAAGTCGAGAGAACGGGAGTAAGTGAACCCGTTCGAGTCCTGTTCTTGTGTCTCCATTACATGATTTTTTGTGTGTGACAATTCATACCACAACAGTATGGGTGGTAGTGTTGACACTAAGACTGCACTAAGAATGATCTTGACTTGTAACTTCATCCTGCAACAAAACAGGAAAAGAAGGAAAACAAACAACAGGGCACAGCAGAAACAATGATGGGGACACACAACCAAAAAAGCACTAAACAACACAATGGATGAAGAAAGAAGTCAACGAACCCCATCAACTGAAGGGTCATAGTGAATTTCTGCGACTTTACGTACACATCCGGGGACACCACAATCTTTATGCTAAACGACTCCATGTTATTCATTTATTGTTAGAAGCTAATATATACTACCCCAGAGGGTGAAGGGCTTCACATGCAGAGTAGCTATCATCTTGCCAAGAAAATCACTCAAAAGGTTGCAAGATGATACTTTTGGTTTGTCTGCACTTCAAGCCCTTCACCCTTTGCGGTAGCATCAGCCTTTAATGATTTGGATTATGGCCTTGGCTGGAGAGTTTGGTTGTTATGGGACCAGACTAACATTATTATTTGTGTTGGACTGCATATCTGATAATCACGAGCTTTATATACACATGCAAGAGTTGCACACAACTCGCCACCAAAAATTGACTAGTTCTCGCATCGTAATAATTATAGAGTGGTGAATAACGTTTACGCACCCAGTCGCACGTAGCTACATGAAGTTGGATTCGGCAAAGCAGCCTCGGAGTATATATAATTCCGCGGCAATGCAGAGGCACGGATCAACATAATTATGTGTCCGGCAGTTTATCATGGTCACTGGGAAATGCTATGAGCGCAGGTATAGGCTCCACTGGAGACTCGCTGCTTATCCGCTCGCTATAAGAATATAACACAGCTAGCTATAATATCGCAATAAAAACATGCACAAGTTTCTTACCATGTACAACAGCGGATATAAAACACAAAAACATCTTTTAAGTCGTTCAGTGGCCCTTTACTTTGCTTGAGAGGAGTGCAGGTACGCTTCTTAGATCCTTCTCTACCAATCTTGAGCTGGAGGAACTGCAGTTACTGTGTATTAGCGGGGAAGTGGTAAACCCATCCGGCCGGCGGCTCAGCGCCTGCGCGCAGGCGGGCGCGGGGATAGCGCGCGATCTCGCGCGAGGGCCGACTCTCTTGGCAGCATATACGTACTAGTGGAAATGTTGAACATTGTTGGCGAGCAGGAACGACCCAACTTGGGATTTGACCGTGATGTTCGGGCTGCATAACGTGCCGTCAGCGCACAGCTTTCCTTTCGTGAAGCAAGACAGGTCTACCTGTCGCCGTTACATGCGTATTGTATATTGCCAGAACGGTGAGCAGGTGAGCAGAACGGTACTTACCTTACGCTTTCAGCTCGTTAGTCGTGGTCCACCTGGCAACTGGCATGCAGCAGTATGTGCACGAGCAATCCTAGCGTATTATGCAAGTTGCACCTTGGAACCATGAAGATTGGGAAGCTTCGGTCAGTCACCGAAGGTTCGAGCGCATTCCGTCGATCGGAGGAGAGTTGAGGATAAAAAGAAGCGCGTACAAAGACGCGCATGCGCACTTACACGACGTACGAACGCATATCAGAGCGTCAGTAGACGCTCTATCTATGTAAGGATGGCGCGGGTGAAATGTCACGTGATCCGCGTACAAAAGCCTCCAAAACTCAGCCAAAACGCTTAGCTATGCCTTCAAAATACTCCAAACACTACTCACGGGCCCTTATCTACCTATACATATGCCTAAAATGTATCCTATGTCCCATAAAATCTTAATCCGCTCATACGCGATTTCACAATTTTCGTGTCATCATAATTCTTCTTCTTCTTCTTCTTCTTTCTTCTTTAGACCCGATTTCTCCTTACCGGAACAAGTTAAATGGTTAGCAACGATTGTGCGTAGGCGTATGTTTCAGATATTTTTTCAATGGCACAGCAAAAACGCTGGTGATTTATGGTGAATTTAGGTAATTTCTCGGATTTTTACTACCTTGTTTTCCAAATTCAGCATATTCATATTCCTCCTCAATACATTCTCTATGGGAGAGAAAACCCGTGCGCGACTCACCCAGGAGCGAACGGTCCGTCTCCATTATGCGCAATGGCTGCCTCCTGCGGCACGCGCAGGCGTATTATAGACTATAGAGCCCCGAAAAATAGGCGTGGCCAAGTTATGAGCATTACGTTTTCACGTTGACCTTTGCCACCCGGTCACGCCCGTTTTTTCTATAGCTACGTACGTACCGAAGCAGGCAAAGAAAGCTGTGTTTCTTAGTCTCATGTAGCGTCCTACATATGGAGGAGGGAGACTCAGGATCTCGATCTCACTGTTGAGTGAGCTGCGGAGCCTTTTTATGTGGTGTAGGCGGGGCATCTCTGGGAAAGTCTATGTCGAGTTTGTGTGCACGTAAGTGATGTACTAAGTCAGGACTACATACATACATGTATATACTCTTTGTGTGTAGTTCATGGTAAAACTCATCAGACACCGCAAATCTGTCAAGGAGGAAGAGAGCTGTTCTTGTGTTCCCCTGTGCAGAAGACAGAAGGTGATGGTGTTGGTGCTGAGGAAGTTCCTGGAGACATATCAAGAGACACAGAGCATCCTTTGTCTGTGACTGCAGTGACACTGTGCAGCGTAAGGCCATAACTCTCCAGAGGTTTCAGAGCAAGCGTAGTGTAGCTCTTCAACTGGGATATCTTCCTCCTTTTCTGTCTTTCCCCTACCTAAAGAATGTACGTGAGGCTCTGCTTAAGTCCACACATTTTTTCTCCTACTCACGTCCTCCAGTTTCCTTCCTTTGTTTTGCGCAGCATCCAAGTACCTCAGTCACAGATTCTCTCTCTCTTCTCTCCTGCTCGGTCTCCCTCTTCTGCTCCTCCAGCTGCTGCCTAGTCTCTCTCTCCTGATCCTCCGCTCTCCTCAGTTCCTCCTGATATATTTTCTGCTGAATTTTACACATCATTATCAAACTTTTCATGTGTACCTCCTTCCTCTGTAGCTCTTCCTGTAATCTCACTTGTATTGTTTCTCCTTCCCCAACCAGTACATATGTCTCCCCGTTCTCCGGTCAACCGTGTCTCCTCTCACGTGACCCTTTGCACCTCCTCTTTTCTGCTATGGAGTCTGCTCGCAGCCTTGCGAATAGATGTCTCTATCCTGGTGCAGGTTGAGTCCAATGTCAGGAGCTGTCCTGAGATGCAAGTGTTCACCCCTGCTGTGTATCCCTTGCCCTCCTCATACAAGCGGAGCAACAGAGCATTTGGAAGGACTAGAGTACAGAGGGGGGAACCCAAAAATGCACTTAGCGCTGTAGTGCCAGCCAGCTCAGCACCCGCAACTCCCACGCGTTCGGCCATTGTTTACTCTCGATAATATTTGCAGGCGTTAACAGCCGCGAATATACCGCCACGACCGACCTTTGCTGTAACTTTGCATGGGCTCATGGGCAACCTGCCACGAACTACGGCTCTACGAGGCGTAACGCCCGAAGTTAGTAGTCCCAGCAGGGCAGGTACTGGCAGTGGAGGGATAGCTAGCCTTGCTAGCTTTATACTACTGTGGAAACTCGGATTTTGACGGCCACCGCCCGGTAGCTCGTCGCGGCTGGGTTGGGATGTCTGTTGTAGCTGGCTATTCAAAGTTTATTGGCATATAGAGCGTCCCAAGAAACGTCCTACAGTTGATCGAGTCCTACAACTTTACTCGGTCATGGACGTCTGCACTGCGCGCTCCGAATATTTACCATTTTGCACAATTTATAGGCTATTTTGGCCGCTAAACTTTGTATTGGGCCTATATACACTAACCCCTGACCAAAAAAATCTTTGAGGCCTCTTCTACAATTATCCGATTGAGCACCGAGAAAATTTTGAAGCACGACCAAGGAAAAAGCATTTTTATGAAGCAAGGTTTCCAAAATTTATTTCCAAATGTACACGTAACATAGGGACGAATAATGTACGAATAAAAGTAGGCGTGTCCGGTTGTTAGCCGGCCGAGATGGGCGGAAATGTAGCTCATTCTGGAGAGTAGTGACTATAGATTAGCTTTCAAATTTGGCATATCTTCCAGGATCACTCTGTCTCGAGAAAACCTGCAGGAAAGAAAGGCCTCCATTTGAAATTAGTACGTTGGCTCACGCACATTTATTTTTAATTTTACGTGACGTCATACTCGTCATGTCCCCGCAATTTCTGGTATTGGCGGCAACTTTGAGCGTGAAACGTGGCCCATATTTTCAACTAGGAGGAATGCATGGTAAAATAAGATTCTGGAGCGGAGAAGCCCGGGGAAGCTGGTGAAACGGACGGCTGCCGAGGTGTGCGTCAAATAGAGATCGCGAACCATCGTTGTATAATACTTAGATGCTAGATGCTTTTGCGTGTGTGGAGAAGATTTGCTGGTCTGGCTGTATTGATGGTACAGTTGAGTAGGATCGAGATTGCCGGTGAAGTGAGAGCAGCACACGCCCCAGTGAATCCGTTCAGTGAAGTGAGCCACTGAGGTAGCGTAGCTATAGTATGTAACTGAATAGTGGTGAGGGTTGTCAAGACCAGTGCTTTTCACTTTGCTGTAGTAGTAACTAGTATTGAACTCGCATGTGGCAAAAACTGACTAGTAGTAGCCATTGGCTGAATAAAGAATGAAAAGCACTGAAGTGCAAACCCTCGGCGCATTGTGACGCGCACGCGTAAGTAAACGCATGCGCTGCATCACTAAATTATTGATGGGCTGGGTTTAGTTCTGGTCCTGGTCTCTAGCCATCTCGCGCAGAGTCTGACGCGGGCTAACTACACCACTAGACAGCATGCGAGAGGCGATACACGCCCTGCGTTGCATCTTCTGGTGCCTCCGAGGTCGCGGATCGATCAGACCGCTGTAAGCCATCCCTTCCGTTGCGTATTTGCATATTGGCTTTTTCGTGCCCTAGCTTTGCAACGGAGCTTTTTCAGAGAAAACCGCCTTTATTTTCTGACCGTCGTCTCCCGTTGGGTAGATGGTATCGTTTCTGGGACGAACAGACGTTCCAGGAGTGAGATATAGAGTAACAGACAAACAGACAAACCCAATGAAAAGCACTAAAGTGCAAACCCTCGGCGAAGTAGCTCGCAGAGAGTCTGACACGGGCTAGCTACAGTAGTAGATAGCACGCGAGAGTCGATACACGCCATCCGTTGTGACTTCTTGTGCCTTCAAGATAGACAGAGCAAGCGGACCCGGTCGAGGTATGTAAGCCTGTGCTAAATATAAGCGCATGCGCATTATCCGCCAGCGATAAAATGGCGACTATCGGCATTAGCCATACAATGCTGGAAGCGCTCTAGCTTGCAACGGAGCATTTCAGAGAAAACCGCCTAATATTTCTGACCTTCGTCGCCCGTTGGGTAGATGGTATCGTTTCTGGACGAACAGACACTCGAGAGTGAGATTGAGAGTAACAGACACACAGACAAACCCACACTACTGTAACCCTCGCTGCGCATGCGCGCCGAGGGTAATAAGTGGCGAGGGTTATGCACTTTCAAGTGCTTTTCATTATTGTTGTAGTGTCATGGAAACGATGTAATCACACTGCAGCACCAGATGTCATCACCTCCATGTGTGCTATAGTTAGCGAGTTTGAGGAGTGAAGAATAAATTTAAAGTAAGTGCCTGAGCTACTTTGTTGTCGTGTTGTCATGGAAACAGTTATTAATACGTATGTGTCTCACGTTTCATCACTCCATACATGCTAGGCATTTAGTAAGATTTGAGGAGTGAGAGAGTATTACTAAAGATTATTGTCTGAGGTTTCTTCAAACAGTATGCGGTCGTCATGGAAACATGTATGTTGTCATGAAATATATAATAGGCATACGTACCAAGTTTCATCCTCTATGCGTCCTACCATTAAGGAGTTTGAGACGTGAAGAAGTAAATATAAAGAAAAGTGCCTGAGGCATTTGTTTGTTGTTTATAAAATATATATGTATGTGTGTTTTGAGGTTGGGTATTGAATACATTATGTATATATACAAGTTTCGTTCACATAACTCTTACAATTACATTTACACTAACATGTATGTATGTCCATATAATGTATTGCCTGGGGCAATTTTGTTGTTGTACAGTAACACATTGTTTACAACAAAAAAGTATGAGCCGATGCACATGGCTTTATCTCTTTCGGTTTTTGAGTTACGCTGGTCGAAGAAAAGAAGAAGAGAAGAAGATAACAAAACTCCCTATCATAGCATACATCTATGATGCTAGGTACATGTCAATCCTATATACTAGTCCTACTACTTAGTGATATCCACAAGTCCCAAAATATCCATAAAAAAACACATAACACAAATACACATGACAACATGAGAGCAGGACACTGGCATGCACGCACGACAATTAACTACAGTAAACCCTAGCTCGCTGCGCATGCACACCGAGGGTTAAAAATGCATGTTGGAAAGGAATTTACATTAATGCGCATGCGCATGAGCTTTGACGCATTTGAACTCAGTATAATTATATAATATAGAGCTTTGAGGCATTTGAACTCCGTATAAATTGTGTATCCGCTGGCAACACAACATTGCACAAATATTTTCTTCGAGTTTTTTTCTCAGATGTCGGGGTTGAAACAGTTCATGTACATGACTGTGTGTTCACACCGCATACACAGCATCAACGACTCACCACCTACACACATGCACTTACACACAGGAATGTGCAATACTGTAGTTCACATCACACACACATACAACGTACGTGTGCATGAAACGGAGCAGTTGCAAAACCAATAATCGACAATGGACACAGTGTAGAAGAGTGTTGCTCATTTAGGCATACAACATGATAGTCTCTGAGGAGTTATGAGGCATGTGAACCCCGTGGAAATTATGTATCTGCTGGTGACACAATATTATTACGACAGTTCAAAAATATTATTCTTGTGTACGTTTGTCTCAGACGTCAGGGTCGAACCAGGGTCCACCGGGAGCTGAGGTGTCCATGACAGCAGGAGAGGGAGGGTTGTAGCTCTGGTTGGAGCCATAGCCTGGGAGGCACAGATAGAGAAGGCGAGAGAGAGAAAAGGTTACACTATGCACACGGGACGGTTTGTATATGATATTGCAGCTTATCTGTTGAAACTATCTATCTACAGTGGAACCTCTGATAAGAGATGGGGATGACCTCTCTGCAAAGGAAACTTGTTTCAACCCTATGCAAATACCTAGTGTACTATTGACCTCTGGGATGAGGACTACCTCTCTAAAAGGGACAAATTGCTGGCCACACATAGTGTCCCTTGTTCGTGAGGTTCCACTGTACATATTACCATTCAATGATCCATACCCAGACTATTATGCACACACATCTGCAGTCTGTGTCATTCCCCAGGGGTCAACCTGTATGCTGACCTTGCTGTAGGTTGACCATCTGCTGTGGCTGGATGGGAGGCTGGGGAGGATAGTGATGGGTGTGCTGCTGGGGCTGCTGTGACGTGGTGATGGTGGGAGGAATGGCAGTGACGGGGGGAGGCTGGGAGGAACCCATAGGAGGCAGTTCCTGGAAGCCACTCCCACCCGGGAAGTCGTCAAAAGCCTCGAGGTCGAGAGGGAGGTCAAGGTCGGCAGGGGTCATGACCCCCGAGGCGATACCACTGTGGGGAGTGTTGTAGCCTGCGGAAGGATAGAGAGATTATGTAAATGTCACTACTAGAGGCCAACTCCTCTGGAAAGACACACAAGGAGTTTTACGTTGAGATGTTTACTAGACATGTTACATTTGTACTCAGCAGACAAACCAATCTGGACCAGCATCTAATGTCACAATAATTAGTTTTGTTATTCTCTATTATGGTTTAAGTGTCCCACGCTCATGCATGGCAACTGATTCGCAAACCCTAATGGGACCTCCAAATAATGAAAATATGCCGACGGCAAATTTTTTCTCGTTATTCAGAGGTTTTTTCTTAATTGAGAAGTATATTGAAGACAATTGAGAGGTCTCAAATATATGAAGAGTATACAATGACAAACACACACACATATAGAGCAAGGCACAGATAGTTTTCAACGCTAAAGAAGTCCTCTAAACTACTCTGCTTTCTGTTGACTGTGCTTAACAGAGCAACAGGATCGATTAAACATGAAGTCTTTGGGTACATGTATAGCTACTAGATACAGGCCCTTAGACTTTTGCTAGCGTATCTTGAAGGCATAGTGAGTCATTCTCGAAAGTTTTGTATATACGCGGATCACGTGAGATTTGACCCATGCCAACCCTATATAGCGTCTATCGACACTACAATAGTAGTTGTAAAATTATAGCATGCATGTGTGATTGCGGGCGTGATATTACGTACGCAGAGCCACGCCCACTTTTCGTTATAATAGAAGCATTATAATTGTATTTGGGACAGCACTGTGCAGTGGTTAGGTTATTTTGTAGCTGAGAGGTTCGCTAAGGAATAGGTTAGTTAAAATCAGTTGGTACATAGAAATCTGTTCATTATAGAGAGGATATTGCTGTTGGGGGAGTTCATTATCGGAGGTCCCACTGTATTTTGTCAAACTATATATACTGTTACGTTCTGATTAAATGTATGAATTGTATACCTGTGCTAGGGTGAGAGTATCCCAGTGCTCCGTGTGGAGTGTTGTACCCCGACTGGGCCACGGGGTGGTGTGGGGTGTTGTACCCCGTGTTGGAGTTGGATCCAGGGGCAGAGAAGTAGTTGTGGGAGATGTGTGAAATCATGGGCCCGTGGCTCATCCCATCCTCTGCACCCAGGAACGCAGCTTGGGGGTCCATTGGCTGGGTGTGTGTGTGGGGGGGGGACAATCACGTCAACTGCATGTCGCCATATCTCACACCATGTGCATCTACTACTTGTATATGTACATACACTTCACATACAACAAAGAATGTGGGGGTGAACATTGTTGCATTGAAGGAGAGGTGGGCACAAAATAAAAGCAGGTTGAGGTACAATAGCACAGTTAACTCTGGAATTTACGAGGCTCATCCTTTCTTCTGTTTAGCATTATGGATGGTTTGGGTTATTCAGTTTGTATACACACTAAATCTCTCTTACAAAACATCACACTTTTGTAAAGTTGTGCAAGGCTTGGCAATGATGCAGCAGCCGTGCTGTATAGCGAGTAGAGTATACATGTACATGTATGTGTACCATGTTGGGATGTGGGAGGTGAGAGATGGTGGAGGGGTGAGGATGGTTGGCCTCCTCTGAGAGACAAAACAACACCGCTGCCGAGTACGCCGCTGGAATTGACCGGAGATTGAACATGGAGAAGAGAGGAGAGGAAGAATCATCTGCTTACGGACATGGATATAATACAAAACAGCAAGTAAACATGTGTTTAAAACTTGAGTGGTCTTGCTCTGTAGCTGAGCACAGTGAGAACAATGTACATCAATGGCCCAGATGGCTTCTACATACATGTCGTGTATGTAGGTTTCAGTGGACAAGCTGCTTAACTTCACGTAGAAAAAAGTTCGATGGGAACTCAATGCATTACTATGAAATTTAGTAAACACAGACAGCACAGTTAGCGTCTATAGGTGACCGACTTTGAGATAACTAGGGTAGAGCAGAACCTGTACTCTACAAGCTGATATTACTTTTCCTTGCATGTACATACTTTTACGGAGTTATGACCAAAAGAGTGTCAGTGTACCGAAATAAATGTGAGTGTATTGCAGTGGTGACATACCGACAGCCTCATTCCTGGAGTTGAGAAGCTCCCTGAGCGGGGCCGAGGCATTCTCCTGCTCAATGAGAGCTGCCCCCTCAATGTCCTGGGCCAGCTCACAGAGGACCCCTGCTGCCACACGCGTCACATTCTCATTGCTGGAATAGAGAAGCTACGTGCATATGGAGGGAGGGGGAGAGGGAACAGAGATTAGGGAATGGCCGGTGCAGAGCTCAATTCATTTTCAAACATCATCATGCCCAAGTGGCTAGCTTCATAATCCCCAACTGGTTATAGGCTTCAGAATTTCCAATTTCACACGTGCACAAACAACATTCATCATAACACACAGGGCACGCAAGAGCAAACAGAACTACAAACACAAAGGGACCCTCAAGGCACTACATTTGTGTATAAAGTGTACCTATGAAACAAGTGAACTGATTAAGCACTTGTGTATAAGGTGCACCACATACATGTACAGTGTTGCGTTACCTGGACAAATAGTTTGACGGTGTTGAGTTTCCTCATGGTGTGTCTGTTCTCGGGAGACCTGGCCAGGAGGTGGAGAGCTCCCACACTCACCTCCACCACCTCGTCCATGTACACACCATCCTACACCGTCATATCAACACCGCACACACTTGATAACACCATTGTACGCATATTATATAAGAATTAAGTGATGAAAAAATGACGTGGCTGCAATCCCAATGTGTGTTTGTGTGGAATTAGACTCCAGTACACAAATGAAACTTCATCCATCGACTGAGCCGTGCTTGCTCTGTAACATTGCAAGTGTGCTTTTAAACAGTTCTCCAGGTTTCCTTCCTTGAAACACAAATGCGAGGGGTCTAGTGATAATTGCAGGGTCAGAAACTAAATTGCACAGGCATACCTATATACATATATACGTGTATACAAGAGTTAACCGTTAACCAGACATTAATAAAGGCTAAGTACCCTTGCCTAACCTCGTTCCCAAGCTAACCTACATACATACGTACTTCTGCACACAATACTATGGTATTTGAAAAGTCATCTCTACTTCATCTGTGAGCCTGCAACGAGGCTAAGTTTGCCTCCTCTAATATTTCCCTATACAAAGTCGCCTTCCATCGATCCACCGACAGATAAATCCCGAGTTCAACCTGTGTTTGTATGTGTATCAACTCACAATGAGTCCCTGTGGACCTCCGGGGACCCCGCGTTTGCTGGAGTTGGTGTAGGCCCGTGTCAGAATGTTCCAGAGCTTGGGGATGACGGCCTGCTGTCTCAGGTGGAAGTGGTTCTCTGGACAGAGGGCCAGGTTACGGATCAGACCTACCAGGCCCTGGGGAGACAGGGGAGGAGAGGTTAGTTACCATGCTCTCTTGCATACAACACTAAGAGGTTTTGTGTCAAGCTGGAAGAGTTTAATGTATGTACCACCAATGGAGAAAACCGTTGCCATGACGCATGTTTTAGGCTGTTTATACAGGAGGAAAAATCATTCCTAACGCTCTTGTATGAATATTTAACAAGTACGAATGCAACGCGCATTTGGTGAGCGAACGTGAGTATAATTTAACTTTCTGCAAGCGTACATTACGTTATGCACAGTGGCAGTGCCCATCACAACTTATACAGATAAAACCCGGCGTTGAAATGACTATGTTGTAGGCTCGCTTCACTCACCAATTATGTAGTGTGCCCTGGTGTATGACCAATCAACTAGCTCATGCAGTTTGAGTGCAACAGAAGACATAAAGCAACACCTACACACTGAAGCCTAAGTATACACAGCTCTATATAAAAGAAGAGGAATTAAAGTCTCCTAATTACACCTTGAGGAGAGGCCAGCGGCACTGCTGGTGAAGGAAGGCCGAAATGACGGGGATTCCCCCAACCTGTCGCACAGTGTTCTGGGCCATGTCGGCACTCGGGTGACGGCTGGTGATGTGTCTCAGTGCACACACCGCAGGCTCAATGATGTCCTCCCTGCCACTGGCATTGTTGACCGCCTGCAGCAGAGCCTGGGGAGGTGGGAAGGGGGAGAAGGAGGAGAGGGGGAGGAGGGAGGAGAGGAGGAGAGGGGGGAGGGGTGAGAGAAGGAAGGGGGAGGAAAGGGAAAGGGAAAGGGAGAGAGGGAAGAGAGAGGAGGGGAAGGGAGAGAGTGGGTGAAAGGAAAGGGAGGTTATTCAAAAATTGGTCAGAATGTTTTAACTGTGTTCCTGGACTTTCTTTTATTGGTGTCAACCACTACTACAG